TACATTTTACAAGCTATAAGTCACTACAACGGAGACCGAATTTAATTTGGATATTTAACAACTCAATATGGTTAAATTACCTAGTTATTTGTTTACACACTTTGCATCATTTTGCTCGCTCAGGTCACGAACACTTCTGACATTTTCGAAAGGAAGCAATGCGATTCAGAGCATCAAAAATTGCACAGTGAATGGAAATAGCAATGTTTGACGAATATATTGTTAAAAATCCAAAGTGTCAGGTAACAGCTACATTTTTTTCGCGCGAAATATCACCCGTTTTTCAACGCCATTTTGCGTGGTCTGTAAGGATGTTCTTTCAAGGGCTTAAGTAATCCCAAAATCGATGTGCCCGAAAAAATTTACTCACCAGAATTGAATAAGAATAGCTTTCCTTACAACGTGTGAAGTTTGGTGTTGATTGATTTCATTTTAAGCCTTGAGCGGAGCTTGGTTTTCGCAGTTAATTTTTGACTGTGCGACATGCGGAGCCTGAACTCAGGTAACCTGAAACCGCGTTTTCAGATTTTCGTAAATTTATGAAAAGTTAAGAATCGCTGGAACTTAAAAACATGATTTTTGAAAAGGGTTTACTGAAAGGTTTCTTTGGGCGAAATATGAGCAATTCACCAAAATGGTTAAAAGAGTCACTCAACAAAATGAGCAAGAGATATCATAGTTTTCCTCAGCTGAGGTAGTAATTTGCATAATGGTTATCGATGTAACAACCGTATGTACATTTTCGACACTGATTTTATTTTCACTCTGCTCTCACGCAACTCTGAATGTATGATTTTCCTTTTACCTAATATCTTGTGGCATAACAGCTAAAAATTTCCAAAATTAAAGTTGATTTCAAAACCTTTTTGTACCTGGCAAGGAATAATTAGATTAGCGTTTGTTTGCACAACATATATCTTTGCTCGCTCAGGACACAAACATTTGTGGTATTTTCAAAAGGAAGCTTTCCGATTCAAAGCCTCAAATTTTACTCAGGTATTGCCCCCTTTTAAGCACTTTTTGAGGGTGTTGCTTGAGGGAACAAAAAAAAATGACAAGATAGCTGTGTACGGAAAAAATTAACATAACACAAATGAATGGGAAGACTTTTTCTTAAAACGTGTGAAGTTTGGTGTTAACTGAATTCATTTTAAGCCTTCAACAAAGCTTGGGTTTTTCAGTGAATTTTGGACAATTTGCCAGGCGGAAAACCGCACTTAAACCGCATTTTCAAATTCTCGCAAATTTCTGAAAAATTAACACTCGTCGGAACTTTTAAACTTGATTTTTGAAAAAAGTTTACCAAAGGGTATCGTTGGGCAAAATATGAGCAATTCACCAAAATGGTCGCTGACGGACGATTCTCGATCCTTACAGGCAGCCATTCTTAAGTTGCTAATTCATCCAACTTAGACGTCCAAAAGTGCGGTAATTATGTTTACGTCCTTTTCCTTCGTATAAAATAGACCTAATGCACGAGTTTAATGATAGAAAATGTGGAAAGATGAGTTCACGAAATGTGTCACGTAAATGATATAGAATTAAGCTGATTTTCACGAACCATTTTTTTTTAACTTTTCTTCAATGTTTTCCATCTAGCTCTGTTTCTATAATAAAAAAGACAGTTAACCGTGCTAGCTAAAAATATGTGATGGGCCAATCTGACCCCATTTATGCCTTTACTGGTACTTATCACGCGCGTTATTTTTCGGGTTCACGGTACATTCTATGCTGTAACTAGAAGCAAAGGGTTCAAAATAACTCTTAAAAAAGCTTGATAGGTAGAAAGTCTTGAGCATATTTATGGAAAATCACGCAATTTAAACGACATCGACACAAAACGTTCCTCAAATTAAATCGTTACTTTTAAGGTCCCAATTTGTAAATTATTTTTCAATATCCACACCATTTTCTTCTGAATTCCGCCGCGATCTGAAATGTAAAGCTACTGGAGGTCTCATTTGTATGTTCGCCTGCACGATATACTTGTCACCCGTCGTTGAAAATCTCCTTAGGGTTTGCTTGTCCAGTCTCAAAACTGCTCCTACGTCAGCGAGTCCTTTACGAACATTATCAATTGTTTCGTCATCGTCTACGATAGACTCGGGCAAATCACGCAACAAACTCATGAAGTCCACATTAGAACACGCTCTATTAGATGCAAATGAAGGTGTGACCACGGACTCTGGAAGGTCGGTCAACAAGTCCAATAGTTCCCCATCCAACGCATCGCTAGAAACAGGTGAAGGTGCGCTAATGATGTCTGGTTCATCTTCTAAGGTAACGGCCTCTACACTGCATGAATCAGATCCTGTGTCAGCCCGGGATTCGTTTTCGATCAGTGCAAGTTGAGATGAATGGTATACATGATCCATATATAGAGGATAGTCTGTTGATAGGTACGTAATGCTCCCAACACACTCCTCCTTCATGGTCAACTTTCGTTCTTGCCTTGGCCTGTCATACAACTTGTGCCGATAACCAAAGCTGGCCAGCTTCCTTTTCAAGATTTCGTGTAAACATTTCAATCGTGTGAAGTAGTATTCCTTGATAAATGTTCCCAGATCTGCTTCCGCAAATTTGCCACCGGACATTTCCTTGACGCTCTCATAGGATTCATTAAGGATAGCCACAAACATGTTTATGAGGATGAAAGACATGCTGAGCATGAAGGCAAACAGATAAACAGGGCCAATAATGCGATTAGCAGATTGAAGGTCGTCATAAAGTAATTCTCCACCGAGAAATTTTTGTGTCAATGTCGCCAATGCATCCATGAACGAATGGTAAGATTCGATATCGTTGCCAAACACCAGCACTCCAAAGAGAACGAATGAAATTATGTTTATACAAAATAAGACGGAATAAGACATGACATGTGGCGAAGAAAGCTTGAGCGAAGCTACCATTTGGCAAACGTGCTTGTTGAAACGAATAATCCTCAAGAATTTAACTGTGACAATGAATACTACAATGGACAGAACCATCATCTCGAGATCGATCCAGAAAAGTACATAGTCAGCACTCGCCGTGTCAAATGGGTTTGCCCGAACGTATTTTACAAACGATGATACGTACTTTTCCTTCAAGAAAAAAAACGCAATTGTTGTCAGTGCAGAAATAAGTTGGAGAATGTTTATCCAGTTCCAAAAGGAGCCGAAGTATGCACAACTTTGTCGGTATATCTTCAAAGCTTCTATCAGCAAAAAGTAAACAATTAAAAGTAGCAGGGTAATTTGGCAGGCCAATGAAAAAGAGCGAAGAGATGGGTCAGAGAATCCATATATGGAAAGGGTATCAAGGTACACTTTGGTAACAGGTTTTCCAATCGGATAAAGCTCGTAAAGAAGCTTTGCAACGCTAAATAAGGAGCTTGAAGGTTGAAAAACGGTGAACTCAACGAAAACTACAGCGGTTCTTTCATCGATCCAGTTGTTGCTTTTAAGATTGATTACAACTCTTGATGCAGTTCGCGAGTCATATCCAAGGTCGGCAACATACCCTCCACCATCGTACCTAGTATTTCTTCCATAGGACCACAAGGTGTTTAAATCCTTTGACGAAATATAACGCCAGGGTTTCGGACAAAGCCTCGATAATTCAAACTCCGAATGGTAGTGGCTGATATTCGTCATCGGTACCCATCCAGGCTGGTTCAATAGCGAGGTGTCTTCGTCATGGGGTGAATAGGGAGGAATACATCTCTTGAAGAGTTCGTTTAATTCAGAGTAGTGTTTTCCCATCTGACATGGATATTCTATCAAAAAGAAGATAGAGATTCGAGTTTCAAGTCTGTGGCTACATAAGAAGTCATTTAGAATTCTATTATTTCGCGGAGTTTGTTTTAGCACTATGGGTACTGAAAATCAGCTTAGTGAGCCCTTTGAACGTCTTATACTTTCGCTATTTCTATATGGATTAGTAGTGTGGGGATCTGCCTCTCAAGGCAACTATTTGGAGAAAATTGACACCTTACTCAGACGAGCCTATCGTTTTGGTTACACAAATAAGATAATTCCTAAATCTAATACAGTAATGAATAGGGAAGGAGCTTTGTGTAATAGCTAATGTGATTAATTGTTTAACCTTACCTTCCTTAACTCTGACTTGTCTTAGCCTGGGCATACCAACTAGGAAGGCCGTTCTGGTGCTAATATAACCTTCTGGTGATATGAACTGCTGACCATTGTACCACGTGGTATCATAGACGCCTGGAATAAACTCTGCCTCAACCCAATCCCAAAATGCAAACTTTGAGTCCATCTTAAAAGTAAGACAGGCAAATCAATCTTCAAAAAACATGTCTGATCGAAAGTAATTATATTTCTGTACTTTAACTGTTCAGTCTTTTGTCTTCTGTTTAGTCTGTTTAACTTTTGTCCGACATTGCACATTCGTCAAGTACAAATTATAGGGTCAGATTTTTGAGGTTTAAATATGGAGAAATGTGGGCCTCGAAAGAACCTACCAAGTTTTTCAAGATACCTGAATACTTTAACGGTAGTCGTTCATCAAAACTGATGCTTACTTGTATGAATACGCTTAATTTTAGAGTTGAGGCTCAGGTCCGAAAGCTAAGGAACCTAATTGAGATGAATCAAGTCCGAAACAGAATACACACCAGAAAAGGCGCAAACAATTTTAAAAAACCACAAACAGACATAGAATGCGTCGGCTAGATGCAAGTTACCTCTTCAAATGAGCCTTTGAGCATTGACTCCAAACTCGTTGTGAGTCGGTATCGACTGTAACCTCGATTTCCATACACCAACACAAAAAGGCAAATAACGAAAAGTAAATAGAGCAGTATCTCTACAACGCTGTTGATGGTCTCCACTACACTTTCTCTGTTCTTCCTTGCAAGTACAAGCTCATCTCCAGTGGGTGCTTTAACATCAGAATTGTTGTTTGTTTCTAAAGATGAATCCTTAAATGATGGAGCAGTTTTCTCCTCGGGAGGTTTCTTAAGGATTAACGCGAGAAGTAAGGCAACAGCAACAACTTTAATGGGCTGCATAAGCGCTACGTCTTGAAAGAACGATATCAGGGCTGACGTGAGCCATTGTCTTGATATTTCTTTGCCCCACTGGACGCTGTAGAATACGAGAAATGCTCCGGCCGCAAGAGACGCCAGAATACAAAGTAACCAGGCAATGTATACAAAGAAATGAGGAAGACATCCAGGAGTCTTAACCTTTTTGTTTCCGTGTGATTCTGCGGTATACCGATCTGAAATTTTGTCACTCTCATGGAATGTTTTCATGTGGTCGTATGGAACTTTAATGTTTCTAAATATTGTAACAATAAGCAAGTTTAAAGGAACAACAATCAGAGCGCTTTGGACCCCAATGACGATTTGTTTTACACTTAGTCGAAAAGGACCAAGCTTAAATGTGTCATTCTGCTTCTCGCCAAACTGATAAAACATTGCTCCTGCTAACATTGCAGACAAAAGAACGCAGACACAGCAAGAGAGCCTTTGCGAGCGCGTGAATGGACTGTGAGGAGGCCTGGTTAATAATGATAACCATATATGGCCATCTACCAAGTTATTGGTTACTCGGGTGTAGAATTGGTACTTAAAGCTTGACAAGTCGCTTTTGCTTGCAACTGGAATGTCTACTTGAACTTCCCCATCTTCTTTATCGACTGCAAGCCATCGGCCGCACAAGAAATACCATTTCTCATCAGTTTCGAGATCTTTAATTGTGATCTGGTTGACATACCAAGATGGATAAGCTCCTGAATTGTCGTGCCATAGCTTGATCATTAAAGGAGAATTTAAATTGTCTGGTAAAGAGACAGTGAAGCTGTTTACACTTGCCCGCGCAAACAGCCTTTTGTTGCTGTATTTGTCAAATAATTTTAACGTCTCGCTTCGTATTTCCTCACCATACACGATCATGGCGACATTCGCTGATGTACCAGAGTCTTTCCACATCCCAGTGTACACTGAAACCTCATACAGATGTCCGCCCTCGGCTTGGAGTCGAAGATTTTCGATTACCTACGGTTGGAGAATAATTGATAAATAACGTGCCTGCCAGAGTAAGGTTCCTGTTTTTTACAGAAGTCCTTGACATGTTGCACAGTGCCTGACAGAAGATTTTGTTAAAGTCATTTAAGAATATCTTAAGGATACGGTAGACCCTCGCGGGTGTCCTTCGCAAAATTATTTTTAACACGCTCTTTAAAGCATAGCCACCATCAAATATCTATCAATGGAAAGGTTTAGAAATGCACTATTTGGAAAAAATTATTTATCTTTAAGTAGCTATGACTAAATAAATCTTAGGTAATGAAATAAATGGATAGAATTACTTTTCCTTACTTTGTTTTCGTCCTTTCTGTCAGCTCGTCTAGCGATCACAATGCCAAGGATCCATACACCATATATTGATAGCACCATGGCCAAGACAAGAACATTCCCTGATTCAAAAATATCAGGGAATTTCCTGATAACGTAGTCGAAGTCAATTGGATTAGGAGCGACGAAAAAGTCCCCACCAAAAGAAGAAAGGTGATTGCACAAACATTGTACCTTTCTCGCCGATGATCTGGGTCCAACCTATTTAACAAAGAATATAATCGTTACGGTGGCCAATCATTTCAACTTTGTTGATATATCCAAATTATAACAAAGAATATAGCTTGTTAATAAGTCAAGTATTAAACGATCTCATCAAAGGATCATTCGCATTACTTATTGTGCTATTATCGTATCGTTTGCTTCAATAGATGTAAAATCTACCATGGACAAGGTGTAATATAAATTTTCTGAATAAACGTCTCTATAATCAGAATGTTTTGATCAAATTTGAAAAAAACAAAAAAAATGCATTCAGCCCGCCATATGAAATGGGATATTACTGGTAATCATGCCTATGAGAACGATCTTTGCAATGAGGAGCACTATCGGAATAGTGAAATTAAGACCTAAAAAAAATTCAGGCCAGTACGGGATTCGAACCCATGACTTCCGCGATGCTGGTGCAGTGCTTTACCAACTGAGCTAACAAGCTAACTCGGAGCTGGTCATGACGGTGATTCGTAAAAACCCGTGAGATGATGAGTAAAATGCTAAGAATATATGAAAATCATATATTTGAACTGCGGTTAAAGAAACGCATATGAGAATGATCTACGCAGTGAGGAGCACTATTTAAGCAATAGTGAAATTAAGACTCATCATCTCACAGGTTTCTTATTACGAATCATCATCATGACCAGCTCCCAGTTGGCTTCCTTGCTCAGTTGGTTGAGTACTGCACCGGCATCGCAGAGGTCCTGGGTTCGAATCCCATACAGGCCTGAATTTTTTTCAGGTCTTACTTTCACTATTGCTTAAATAGTGCTCCTCACTGCGAAGATCGTTCTCATATGTGTTTCTTTAACCGCAGTTTAAATATATGATTTTCATATATTCTTAGCATTTGACTGATAATCATATTAGTAATAATGGTAATAGAGTAATAATCATTTGGTTGATAATCATATTAGTCGTAATGAAAATAGAGTAAAACTAAACAGTGAAAAAAGAAAAGACCTTAGGATTTCATTTTCAAAGAACCAACGACAAGTCGCGCCTATAGTAGTAATTAAACAAGAGCTAGAATGTGTCGAAAGCGCCTGATTACTAGGTGTTTCGAACTCCAACAACCTTACATGGAATAAGCACATTGAAGAACCTATAAAGAAAGCTTCTAAACGTATGTATTTCCTAATGCAATTGAAAAGGGCCAATGTCGCAAGACAGGAATTAATTCTTTTTTATACATCTTGTATAAGGTCAGTCCTGACGTACGCATTGCCTGCGTTTTTCTACGCCCTACCACTGATTGTATCTAAATAAAGATGTAGAGAATGTAGCGAAACGGGCATTGTCAATCATTTGCCCGGGCCTGGCCTATAGAGAGGCCTTAGAGCTTTCAAATATTATGTCTATCAATGACTACATCACTAGCTTATGTAAAAAGACCTTCCTCTCGACTGCTAATGACTCGGCCCATCGCTTACATAAAATGCTTCAATCGTCAAGGCCGTCGTGTTGTAATCTCCGGTGCAAAAGGCGTTTTGCGATTCCCAAATGTAGGACCGAGCGTTGAAAAAATAGTTGTTTAGTAAGATCATGTATTAACAACGAATTTTAGTGCTCAGTGAGTTTTGTAAATGAGATCGATGCCGTTGTATATATTAATACAGCTCAAGCTTTCATCATATTTATAGGATATTATTATTTATTTAGGACTTTAATACTATCATATTACTATTATAAGTTATATTTTATACTTTACTGTAAATACACAATTCAGCTCAGTGGCTGCATGCTTTTACAAATAAACTATTTATTAATCTATCTAACGATTACTATCGGCGGAAAGTTTGCAAGGTTTACTGCAAAGAGAGCCTACTAATCTGCACATCAGAACTTCTGAAATCCATAACAATTTAAGCTAACCTTGCATCCCTCCGGTGACCAAGCGTCTGCTGTTACGTTCCAATACTGGCATGTCCCCATAGACACTGACAAGGTGTAATTGACATCGGTGCTGGCGTTAAATGATGGCTCCACTACAACTATTGGAGGAGGGGTAGATGGGGGATCTTTTACTTTTACACAAGATCTCTTCTGCCGTCCAGTACCCCCGCATCCACGCCTTACACGTCTCTCTTGACCAGCGGTTATGTTCTTCTTTGTTGTTTGATGAAACGCATCAACTGTGATGCCTAAATAGTGAAGTCCTGTATGCCCTGTATCTGCGGCGGACATAGTAACAATGTACGCCTCAGTGCTACAATTCGTGTAGCGGTTTTCCTTAGAATAGTTACAGGAGCTGTAATCTGGAACCGATGCGCTATAGTTGTAATTTGTCATTGTTGGTCTCTTTCGATATCGCACGAATAATCTAAGAGAATGTAGATGAGAAGGGATGAGCTTAATAGAGATAACATACTCAGGGCCTGGGAATACAATTCTGTGGAATCGCATCGTTCCATTTTCACTCGGTTTTACGAAGTAAATCTGAGGTTTCTTCGCGTTTGCCTCCACAAGTGGCGGAATGAAGAGCTCGACCACCTCGGAGAGGTTTGAAACGTTAAGCGGGTATCCCTCATCGTTTTTAAGCTCAAAGTCGATGACAACAGACTTTATATTATTCGCACCTTTGGTCCACGTGTAAGGATTATGTTTGAAGGTGACAAGCTGGAATCCAATGATATAAACGAAAATGAGCTCGTAACAAGATAGGTCATATATCAACATAAAACATTCAACTAGATCACTTTATATTCAAATTTTCCTTTCCGTTTTTTCAAATTCCTAGAGATGTGTTAATAAAGTATACTTGTTCTGGGTCAAACTGTAGACGGTATTTTCTAAGTGGCAGAGTTACTTGTCCTCGTTGAATATCGTGTTAACCCTTTCCCAGCAGACAAAACCTTATAATTTGGCCATACAAAACTCAAGCTCACTTTGTTTGTCGTTATATGAAGTATCCCTTACAATATTTGCAGTTTTGTGACACCATGGG